GAGTTTTAATGTCCATCATATTTTTGCGTGAAAAAATGGAGATAAAGAGTGAGAGCGCGTGAAGACACTAAGATGCGCGAGTCTCACTCCCAATGGGTGAGAGTTTACAGCCCTGGCCTTAGGTGTGCCAAGGATAGTGGATATTGGGCCAAGATCTGCAGTAGGACTAAGCTTTCTGTGTACTGTCACCCAGTCACTTTCTGGCGTCTCAGGAATTGTTGGAGGGCAACTATTTGGACATGTCCCTGATCTTGGTGGCTCCAACTTCTGGATGTTCAACAGGCCAAAGCCAGTACTCTAACTCTGACACCCTTGCCTCCAGAGCTAAAAAAATACTACATACCATTATCGCTAAAGGAGGCAGAGTAATAACAGTGTAGTTAAAACAGGAGAAAGGAGAGAGAGATTTAGAGAGGGTCAGAAATGAATCAGGGGAGACAGAGAAGCCATAGCAATGTTAATCTATCACTAGCCTAGGCTGGCTATCTTTACTACCAGAAATAAAAACTGTGTGAATGCAACAAGTGCCCAGTAGAAAGTACAGCAGCAGAAGCTGTATGTTAAAGTACTTCGTGACAGTTGGAGTAACTTTGCGATATCACAGACTAGAGAATTTAGCTCACGGAGAGAGAGCCTGAGCAGCAACACAGAATGTAGGTCAGCAGTCAGAGAACAGGGAGTGAATATTGTATGTCTCACCAACAGCACCCCTCTTTAGTGGATCCAAGAGTTCCAACACCAAGACAAATCTCATTCTTAGAGAACTGAAGAATAGTGTTGCCAGGCCACCAACTCTCCATAACTGCTCTAAGATGCAATATGCATGCAAAATCATTGTTGGGGACTAACAGCAGTAAAATGAATGATGGATTGGACACCCTCCTTAGAATGTGTGAAGCCAGCCTGACTGAACTTTTCAGCCACAAGCTGATGACTTTAGAGCTAAATAATATATAACATATATAACATTTTTCATTACAGTATCGTGCACAAACTTTTGCTATACCGTTATAAGATTATACTATATTTCAAGCATCATAGTATATATTACCAGTGGACTCATATCACCCTTTTTGCCCATGCCTGATATTTATGTGTAGTGGCTGAGATATTTAAGCTTATAGAGAGTGTTGGTGTCATAGTAGAGTCATAAAAGATGTTAGCTAATTGTAACTTATAACATTATTGGAATTTTCAACAGCACAATTATAATTACGTATTTAACTGGTGTTGTTCAGCTATAAGTTCAGATAAAACAAATAAACTGGTTGGCTCCACCAGCATATTGAAAAATTGTCCTCTTTGTTTCCTTTCAGGATATTAATTTGAAAGCAGCAGAGAAGTGTAAGTCATATAGCAGGGAATAAAGAAAATCAACAGCATGCATCATTTCATGGGCCTTACGCTGCCGTGCGTTATGCAGAAGTTGGGCTGTTGTTGGACAGAAAGTCTGGACTCGTTATAAATACTCTATGTCGGGGTAACCAACTAAATATCAGCGATTCTTCCAGCAGTCCACACTTTTTCTTTTTTTTTTCATCTTCTCCTTTCCCATCACCCGGCTTGCCATAAAAGTAGCTAGCAGCAGCAACCCAGACTGACACAGCTCATTGGCTGGTGCTGGATGCTCTGAAGGGCTTTACCATGTTAACAGGTAAATGCAGTAATTTTTAAATGTTTTAAATAAGATTGGGTCCTGATTGGCCAGCAGGTGGGTCTGAATCTGGACTTCGTTTCGAGTAAATTATGGACGCTACCCACTCAGGACACTTGGAATACATTGGACGAGCAGTATGGAGGAATATTGACACGTTTTTTGTGGACTTTTATGGACCTTTCTGCCTCGGGCACAATAGACCTCCATTATTTGAATGTCAGCAGACAGCAAGAAGCCTCCCAGATCTCCAGATGCATTTGAGATATCAAAAAAGTACTCCAGAGTGTTGTTCAGCATGGGGGTGAGTAGAAAATGAAGGCTAATCATGTTTTGGGTGTACTATTCCTTTAACTAAGGTGTGTTAATAAAGTTTCCCTTTGGTGGCCTAAAATAAATGTTTCTCTGGTTATGTGGACAGATGTTTCAGTGGCTTAGGGATATTTATACTGATTTTAATGTGTAGTATGCAGAATATTTCAAGAATATTTTTATGCATTTTGGATGCATGAGAGTAAAGTGTTCAGCTACATGTTACTTGGCTTTGTAGATTTGAATTATTTTCTGCTGCCATTTTTTCTCACGGCAAACTTTCAGTATGATTACTTTGCCCTCTTTTATACATGAGACATGAGCGCTTTATATGTATTTTGTTTTGAATTAAACACAGTTGAGTTCAGGCTATTAATGACTGTTACACCCTATCATAAAATGGTACAGTAGTCTTTTAGTTTAGCATCAATTTGAAACCTTTAAATCAGACATAGGCCTTAATGTCTCCTGGCACAACCCTACTTATTTACTGCACCCAACTGACAGAATTATTTTTGAGTACTTGCAATTGTTCTGGCATGAGGTTGAAAAAGTTTCCCAGCATGAATTGCTGATAAGTCAAGCCAGAGTTGAAAATACCTCATAGGAAAATTATTTTTTTCTCTAGCTTTTTTTTGTGCTCATTTTACTCTCTGTTCCTGTCTTCACTCATCTTACATTTTAAAAATAATAATGAAGAAGCACTCAGCCTTGGCCCTTTTATGCCCTGGTGTCTTTGAAATTATCCTCTCTCACTTTGCTCCACTCGCTCCCATTATGCATCTACTTCTCCTTCCCCTATGGCTGCTCTTAGGGTGTACACGTGTTTTTTTTTAGGTGATAGTTTTGTGTTTTTGTCCAATTTCTTCTCCTCGTTGACAGATTAGTCACCTTGTACTTTTTCTGCATTCTTTTAGATCTAAGGCTTTGCATGCAGTGCCAATTAAATTGGATCAAAACAAAAGAAATAAAGCACACACAAAAAAAAAAAACATAATCGTGATTTAGCTTTGAACACTTGGTAGAAAATAAATACACCTTTATATAAAAATGTTTCATGCATATTAGTGCACACCTTTACTTTGTTGTATTGTACTTTATTTTGTATGAGTCATTTAGCTTAGAAAAATGTGCCCCACCAGTGTTGATATGTTGCGCATATACAATGGTATCTTATTTGCAATTTCTCAAATATATTTACATCTAAGTCTTTTACTTCATCAGATGGACGTTTTTCTTTGATTTATTTATTTTTTTAAGCAAAAGGCTGTTGTATTTAATCAGAAATACATGTTTGGGATTAATGCTCTACAATCAGATGCTCATCGGAAATTCAAATCTGGTTAGATTATCTTAGCATAATGCTAATTATTTGCTTTATCTACCATTTTTTAATACTGAAATCCCCCTTTAGAGTTTTTAACCACTACTTGTATGGATATTATTTGCAGGGCTTTTTAATACAGAAGTTTTTAAAAATAAATGCATTTTGAATCAGTGACAGCACTGCTATAAATCTTTTTTCAGGCCATTTTCTTTGTGAAAGGTACAGAACAGTATGTACTTTCCATGCTCATCCATCGGGTGCTCAAGGAAGTAGGGTTTAGGCTGCTTGTTTGCTGTTAAATTAAGGTGAAGCAGTATGATAAGTACACTGGTTAGCAAAAATACCTAAAACACTTTAATCCTTTTTTATTTGTTCTTATTACTTTTTTACTTGAGTGGTTGAGTCATAAACAACACAAAATAGGGTATGATTGTGACATGGAAAAGCATATAATACAAATTTAAATACTTTATATATATATTTCTGAAAAGTTTGGTCATCCTTCCTGGATGTATTAAAAGTATTTTTTTGTGTAGCTCTGTGAGCTTTACTCATCTTGAGCCAATAAAAACTGTAATTTACAGAGCAATTAGAAGCAAAGTCAGATAGTGTAATGACTGTTGATAAACATAATGTTAATAGGGGGGATTTCTAGGATCAGACTTATAGGGATGCTCTGCCCCAAGCAGGAAGGTGGTGGAGGCTCTTTTTCAGAACAAAGGTAAAACAGTTTTAAGCGATATTGAAAAGTCTGTTAGACTTAAACTTTAAGAAAGAATTTTCAAATGACAGATGGTCCAGCAAAAACTCATGCTAGCGCATTCTTTGCATCTGCTGATGTGTATCTGTCAGGACATATTTGGGATTGGATTGATTTAGCTCTTTCTCCTTTTTTTTTCTTACAAAAGAGACCAAAACAGGAATTTAGAATTGTAATGATTATGAACAATAGAGGAATTTTTAGTTGTGTCTAAAGCGACTGGAAATAGACCTATTGCATGAAGAAATGGAAAAAAAAAAGGTGCATATCCGCATACCTTGAAATAGCCCAGAACCATTCGAAAGATTAGGGAAGCATCTCTTGATATTGGCCAGGAGGTTAAAGCTTAAACACCAAGGGGTCCTTTAAATGGACTAATTCCAGAGCAAATCTGAAAATTAGTAGCCTGAGGAAAATAAAGTAAATTTAAAGCAAACGTAATCTAAACCCCAAAGAAATTGAAAGCTGTATGTCACACCCATTATATAACTCCTAAAACATAAAGTTTAAGAAGCGATTCTAAAAAAATAAAACACCAAAAAATGTATATGCATCTTTTGACTTTGACAGGAGTTAAGCTTTCTGATATTTCTAGTGTTGTAAGTAACATAGAAAATAATGACCTAAAGTGTTTAATCTGATTAATACCACACTGTGAATAAAAAAGCATTTTAAACAAGATATATTTTTCTCTGTATTAAACTGTATGCTGTGTGTGGTTATTGCCTAATTTCCACTTGTAGTCCAGTTATAGTATTGGCTTGCCAATAACAGAGTAAGTGTGTGTCCCAGTGTGAGTTTTTCTGGGAAACAAGTAACTGCATGCAGGGCTGTCTGTTGGCAAAATAATAGCTTTTAGCTATAAATGGCATCTGTTTTCTACTTTTATAATTCATGCAGAAAAACAGTTACCACATCTTTCGGCCTCTTTCTCTTTATGCTCTCAGCGGGATACCAGGGAAGAAGTGTGGAGTCATAATCTTGACTGCGGAGGAGCTCAGTAACTGCAGGGTCAGTACACACAAACGCATACATCAACACACCCACACACATACAAACATCCTAAATCCTGATTGAATATTCTGCATTTTTATCTGAATATGCATTGAAGTTGATTTAATAGTTTGTATTTGTCTCCTTATGCATTCAGTCAACCTAATACATGCAAACATACCGTAGGACTTAATATTTCATGATCAAACCAGATAAACACTGTGCAGAAATTCATTGAAGAATTCCCTAAACCTCCTACTCCATCCAAGGTTAAACAGATCAGGTTTTACTGGCATGAAGCTCTCCACATTTCTCTAAATATGTTTTAGATAAACTGTCAAGATGATTTTTCTGCTATGAGGCGATATTCTCCTCCAATTTTGCAGTTTCCCTGACACAGTTATGTATTAACTCCAGCCAGCCACTCGGCTACTTGGAGACTTTCTATTGCTGTTTCTGTGGGTGCATGTGTGTGCTCATGAGATCATTATATGAACTCGCTTATCTTAGCTGTGTTTACCATTGGTACTCGGGGAGATTTTTTGCTCCTAACGAGATTCAATTGCTGTCAGTGGCAAACCTGGGTTCCCATGATGCCCTCATAACTCAGGAGAAATCAACTAAAAGGTCTAATTATTTATCTGTCTTTAATTCCTTCCTTCCTTCCTTCCTTCCTTCCTTCCTTCCTTCCTTCCTTCCTTCCTTCCTTCCTTCCTTCCTTCCTTCCTTCCTTCCTTCCTTCCTTCCTTCCTTCCTTCCTTCCTTCCTTCCTTCCTTCCTTCCTTCCTTCCTTCCTTCCTTCCGGCCTCAGCTGTCCCAGGCATCTCAGTGCAGAAGCAGGAAAAACACGACTCCTCATTAACAGCTATTTCCACTCATACATATGTATGAAGGGATCCCTCTCCGCCTCCTTGAATATATTGCAGACATTGCCAAATAAGATTTATTTTTCTCTCCTATATATTATCTGATTCTATGGAACAATCCAAAACAAGTGTTTAGAGTGATGCTTCTTGTTGTTTAAATCACCAGTATACATACACCCATGCACATTTTCTTCCTTTGGCACCTTCTTCTTCTTTTTGACTATTTCAGACGATGTAAGTTAATTTCTCCGCTATGAGATCAATAAAGTCAATCAGTCAGTCAATTAAGTATGCATGCCTATTTTCCTCTGCGAGTTACTGTACATCCAGAGGGACTTTAAAAAACAATTCTTTAAACTTTTGTACAGAGTTTTGGCTTTAATTGTGAAAAAATATCTTGAAGAGGTTGCTCTGTTAGAAAATAACTTGCATCAGAAGCATTATATTAAAAAGCTTTGTCTTTTCTGTCAGGATATTGCCACAATGCAGTTGTGTGCCAACAAACTGGATAAGAAAGACTTTTTTGGAAAGTCTGACCCCTTCCTGGTGTTTTACCGCAGTAATGAGGATGGAACGTAAGTATAAATTGTGAGGATATGTTGGTTAATCTAATTGTTCACATTTGAACAAATTGATTATATTTCTTCCTTACACTGAAACTGTTACGTACTAACCTTGTTTGTTTTTTGACCAATTACAGATATTTATGTGAAACAATTTGCAAGGAATTTGCATACCTCTAACAGCACCAGTCCAATTATGTGTAAAAACAGCAAATCATGTGTCTCACATGCATCTTAGTGTGTGTTTATTCCTTAGTCCCACAGCACCTCCATACATGTGAACCAAACAAGGAATCTCCCAGGACACCCAAAACATTTCTGAAAGATTCTGTCAGGAAATAAACACTTCAAGCAAATTCTTCTTTGAAACTACAAGTTTGATGTAAACATGGAGCCTAGATTGAGATCATAGAAATGTTCCTTCTACTCACCTAACCGTCCAGGTCTCCCTGTTTCCCCGTAAACCGAATACAGCTGAGTCTGAGATGGGCCCTGTTTTGCTTTTGTTTAGATTGCCAAGCGATTTGCTTTCATATGTTGTGCTTTGGGAATGACTCCAGAGTCCAAAAGAAGAGGAGAAAGGGAATTTTCTATTTACTCACAGGGAGAGCTCCAGCACAAAGCTTTAGTTGGCTGCTTTTAAGTTTAGCTTATCCCTAGGGCTTCTCCAAAGTGAGACAGAATCCCTTTCCAGGGGTTCTGTCCCACTGACCAAAATGTGCATGGGGGTGATTCCAGTGTTGGAATATTAAACCTTCTATTAAAACTCTGTGAAGTACCAGTAATGCAGTCTGTCTGTAGCACATGGACTCCTCCTGGTCACATTAATTTACAGTTCTTACTGCTTGAAGCTCTGGTAACTCAGAGGATCACTATTACTACACATACTCTCTTTTCAATACAAATGAAAGCACCCACCAGTCCATCATTGCTTTTCATTATTATTGTTAATATTAATATTCAAACAGTTTTTATCTTCAGATTTGTACAAAACATTTCTAGGTACGTTTTTCCATTTGTCCATCCTTTAACTGCTCAAACTTTGCTGGGTCATTGCCCACACCTCAATATTTGTACATACAAACACTGCAAAAAAATTGAAATCTTAATAAGTGTTGTTTTCTTAAAATAACTGCATTTTTCGAGAATTGAGGAGGTGAGACAATTACTTTTAAAATAAGAAAAAAACAATTGCATTGTCATATTTGTAGTGCATATTACCTGATTATCTCATTTTAAGAGTAAAATTAATAATTCAATTTTCAAATCATCTTAATTACCTACTGAAATTAAGGGTAAATAAACTTAATTTAAGAAATGTGTACTTATCTCTAGATTGTTTTTGCAGTGTACTTCTCTATTGGCATGATGTTTTTGGGATAATGTGCCGAAAACATTGTACTGTATGTGCAGCAATATTTAAGAGCTTTAGCTTTGTCTTCATCATTTAACCTGGTTTCTCAAAATTCTCTGCAACAAACTCATAACAAGAGGTGTTAAGTAATAAAGAACAAATACTTAATTTGCTTAATTAAGTTGAAACTTTGGCTATCTATACTTTACAAGAGTAATTCTTTTTAGACTATTTTTACTTCAACTTAATTTTTTGTACAATTGTCTCATCTTTATACTCCTTACATTTTAAAAATAGGCTAATTCGTTTTGTTTAATTTAAGCTCATTTTCATGTTTGTTATGTTAAACCATCTGACATTTGGCCTCTGAACCTCTTTTGACATTATTTTTGCCTGCTCCTTGCACATTCCACTTTATTACACATAGCCTAATTTATAGACTTATCTGTTTAGGTTTCTGCGTTTGACTGGATTACCTCTGTTGTAGGTTTAATGTACCTAGATATATAAAAAAATATACTGAGAAAACCAGTGATATGCTTAATACTTACTTGCTGTATATTCATATTAGTCAAACACTGTAAAATCCAATAGAGAGTTTTGTGTTCCATATATCTAAATGCATACAGTCCAGCATGTTCAGTTCAACATTATTAACTAAAAAAGCTGAGGCGGATTCAACTTTACGGATCATGAGATAAGGCTGTTGCTAGAGACCTTTCCAGGCAATTATCCCAAAGTACCACCATCACTAAAAGGGAACTCTGATGGAAGCACTGAACCTCAACATCCACACTGGTGATGCGTAGTCTGGGTTTTAAAAACATGTGGGACGTGCCTTGATTGCTCTGGGAAAACAGAGATTTTACATTTTGGAGAACCACACAGTGACACCAAATATCACATTTGATTCTCAGTTTACTTTTTGGGCATAAATTGACTCGTCTGCCTGTTTCTTCTTAATCGGTTTTTATTACCTGTCACTGTGTTTGTATTTTTGTTGTTACTTTTTTCCATAAATTTGTTTTTATTAATAATAACATCAGTTATTTTACATCTACAAAACTGTTTTAATTCTTTGTTTGGAATAACGGAGGGAAATAAAGTTTTAAGGGCTTCATTTCTCAAATTTTTGTTCTGGCAGGTTCACTATCTGCCACAAGACGGAGGTGATCAAGAATACACTGAACCCGGTGTGGCAGCCCTTCACTATCCCTGTTAGAGCTCTCTGCAACGGTGACTATGACAGGTTGGAAAAAATATTTGCACATCTTTACAATCCCACATGACACAAGATAAACTATTTTGAGAAATGTAGTTAGTTTACAGTAAGGAAAGAAACACTCATATCTTTAACAAATCTAATTAAATGTAAAAAGTTCCAAATCAAGTTTTAAATGTTTGACATTGTCCTTTGCTGAGGCGGTCAGAATAATGCCAGCAGTCGGTCATGATGTCCAAAGGACCAGCACTGGTGTTATTGAGACTGACTCAGTGTTCACACAGATGTCTGTTATACATACCAAATCAGCACCGACCGAGCTGACTGGTGGAATAGCCACTTGGTGTTACATATAGTCCATTCTATAGCACATGGTCCACTCTTTAATTATTGGACTTATTATCAACTCACATTTTTTAACAGCAAAAAAATGTATAATGTTAAAGGCACACTATGCAACATTTTTCAGTTAATTAATGTGTTCCATAACGTTTTGGATGATTAAATGAGTCATTTCAGGTTGAACAAAGGTATTCTCGGCCGCCCTGGTGGTCTGTGGGGGAAATACCGCACTTGCAATTGCAGGAGCACCGACCCGCACCCACAGGCTCAGAAGTCTCGTGAGAGTCGGTCTTGCTTTACGGCGAGAACTGCTACACCCCCCAGTTAAAAGCATGCTCGTTGCTAGCACAGTGGCGATCTTTGTGCAGTGCTGCTTTCACACCGGACGCAGCAAAATCGCGTCTGCTGCTTCATTTTTGCTGCTTGTACCAGTTAGTTCTGACGCACGGCTGAAGCAGCTTTGCTGCTCTGGCTGCGGTGCAAAAGTGTGTCTGACGCGCGTTGGGCGGAGCTTCACTATCCTTTCTCTGCCTTGCAGCTATATTTGCTGTGATCAGTGGGAATAAAGTAGTTTTAATATGTTTTTAAGTGAGAAAATACACCTGAAAACGTAATCAGTTCAGTCAGTTCATTCAGATTATCATCCTGCCTTCCAATATTTTTTCTGTCGGAGCCGCTCAGACCTCCACATGCCAGCGGTGCGCCGACAGTTGGAACCCCTTCATCGGCAGCCTCTGGCTGGGTCGCCTCCTCGCGGTTCACCGCGGCAGCTGGTAGGTGTTTTTCATCTAAATAATCCAAACTGCAGGCAGCAGGATAATAAAAGCGAACATATTCTGCCGGCAGATTTCTGCATTTTAAGTTAATTTAGGCGTCAATAAACTGTTTAAGAGGAGTAATGATAGCGCTCTGATCATCAGCGCTGTGTCCCTCTCCCTGCCAGCTCCCAGATCAGCTTCTCTGATTGGTTGACGCGGCGTGTCGAGCAGCAAAAATTTAATTTTTCCATCTCGAGCAGCAGCGCGTTTGCGGCGCGTAACGCGCGTCAGTCATTCGTTGCGTTCGCCTGTCTGCTAAGCTCATAACAACCGCGCCTGGCTTGACGGAGAAACCAGGAGAACAGCTGTGCATATTTACGACAGTGCACTTTTACTTTCGCCCTCTGGGGGGAGCCTCGCTGGAAAATCAACACCGGTTGCATAGTGTACCTTTAAGTGTTGTATATTCTGCCTTTAGTGCGGGCCTCCATGTTGAAGTACTGGATGCTTAAAGAATCAGACAACTGAACGCTTCTTTTTGTAGAAATAAATATGTAAATACAATAAAAAAATTCCGTTATGAAAATCATGATATAGAACAACACTACATGAATTCATGTGTGACAGTCAGCTCTCACACAGATCACAGATTTTTGCATGCAGAACAAAATGAAGCTTCATACAGCTGCTTCAAACTGGTTGAATGGAAGAGTCTTTCACTTTATTAGAGCTCCTTAATAAAGTTACATATTTCAACATATGGGTCATGTTTGTTCATTAATATCTAATCATACATACAGTGAAAACAACTAGACTGAGACATCTGCATAAAGATATGTCAAAACTCTGACGATAGAAAAAAAAAAAGACATTATTTTACTTTTTGCTTTCAGTTTAAACAAGCTATTCTAGGTTTCATCATCCACCCTGACAAGTTCTAGCTTCCGACTTGCTAGAAAGGTGAAATATAATGTCTCCAAAGCTAGGTTAGGGTTCCAGGAATTTGATTCACCTATTTATCACTTATTTTATCAGAATTTTTAAATCCCTCCTAGTGTGACCCCTTCGTAAAGTAGATATATCGAAAACAGTGGCGGATGGTGGAGTTTTCTCCGGGGGGGCTATAACTTAAGGTAGTCGATTACCAAAAATCAATCAGATACTAAGGTATCACACAAATATATTTAAATGAACACTACGAAAAAAAAATATATATATAAAATTTTCTGAACAGTGCTTTAAATTAGTCATACCTGTCTTGTGCTATGCTGGGTTAGATGATGATGTTTGAACAAGGAGGCAGGGAAAGCAGAATAAAGTGTAGTTTAATGCTATTGGTTCAGCTTCACAATGCTGTGAACGGTTAGTAGCATCAGAAGACTGGTTCGTAATGGAGCCTGGGAGGTGAATGAAGACCAACACTAAAGTTTTAAATTGAAAATATAGTAATATTCAAAACAAACAAACACAATATTAACAGGCAGAGGAGGACAACATAAAAAAAAAAACAATGAATAATGACATTTAACTTAAAGGTTTTTTATACTTTCAGCCCTTTACATGTCCAAAAAATCCTTAAACTTGGATCTGTTTCAAGGGGAAAAATGAGTCCAACTCCTGCTTTGGGGACATTATATTTCTTTGTTTAGGGCTTTTTCTTTCTTTCCCTTTTTATTTGGTAGCTAGTAAACATTTGAAAACTAATACATTGAAAGTTTTTCCTAAAAATGTACCGTGGTTGCATTCTTTCTTTTTCTAACATTATATCCTCAGTAAGGTAATTTACTCAACACCCAGAGGAGACACTAAGGGCTATAAATATTTACAGGGAGAGATTTATGTTATTCTACCTGCTCTGTATGCTAATGATTTTTTAGCTGCAAAATAAAGTGCTGTTCATATCAACGAAACAAATATCTCTACATCTGACCGTTAACCTGAGGCTAGAATAATCTTTGTGGTAATATATGATAATTTAAAGATATTTCTTCAGTATTCTATGCTATCTCTATATAATGTTTCTCTCTCTCTGGCTTGTAATAACCAGCGCTTACTCTCCTTTCATCATTTATTCAGTGAATGTGTAATTTTTTCATCTGCGCTCACAATGATGTAGAATTTTTTGTTCTCTCTTTAAAACCAGAACCTGCTGTTCTTTTTAACTGACAGCAGTGGTTAGATGTGGTTAGCAGAAATTTCACAGACAAAAGTTTCTTTTTGTTCTCAGGTTTAATTCTTTTCCTTTTTTAGGACTGTAAAAGTAGACGTGTTTGACTGGGACCGAGATGGAAGGTAAAAGCATTTGTCAATCAGCACACTCTAAAGCCTGATGATTCACGTTTATCCCTCCTAATTGCTAGAAAGAAATTAAATGCCACATTTGTATTTTTTTTTTTTCAAATATTTAAGATTTTAAGAATGGCAAATTTATATTAGCAAGGAAATTGAATATTTCAGTATATAGTGAACATCTGCATGGCAAAGTCTGAGTTAACGATGAAGAAAATAAGCTTCTCTTCATTTGTAAAATGTTTTCTCCTGCTCAATCATCTGAATGGGAACTCACGTTTTATGTCTGCAGCCATGACTTCATCGGAGAGTTCACCACAAGCTACAGAGAGCTGTCTCGGGGGCAGAACCAGTTCAATGTCTATGAGGTAAAACACACACTTTGTTTACTGTACTTTCATTTCATTCTGGCTTGTGTGTCCAGTTTATTGATGTGAAATACATTTGGCACCTTACAAATTGTATCTGGTTTTGTGGATATGTCACTGTTAAACACTGAGTAATTTTTTAAGTCATTGGGACTCAAAACAGAATAAATGCTGTTATCGACAGAAAACATGGAACCAGATTACTCCAAAAGTGCTTTCATCAATCATGAAGGAGTTGATAAAAGGAACAAAAAATACACATAAAGCACATTAGACCTACTGAGCTATGCTCTGTGCAAATTTGTGTGGAATATTGCTAATTTAAAAAGTGGCACTGCACATCACTGCTTGTCACTTTTTTTCTGCTTTTATCTTGGAATCATGTATCCTTTACCATGTGCTTTAGAGCAATAATATATGTAAAATCAGTAACAAAAGCAAAAAACCAAAACATTTTAAATGAACTTCTTCAGAGTTAAATGAGAAGGGGTTGCAGGAAAACAAAAGAAGAGACAGAATTATTCATTAGAGGGGACTTCTTAGTTGCTGGGAATATGTACACACAAGCTCAAGAATTGGCCATAAAGCTCTTGAACTGCTAACTCCATTATGGCTCACAGCTCATTAAATTCTACTACAGAGGAATGCTTGATTTAGAGAAAACTCATTAATATTAAGGCCCAAATGAAAATACAAGAGAGCCTCTCGTAACCCTCCTGGATGGATGGATGGATGGATGGATGGATGGATGGATGGATGGATGGATGGATGGATGGATGGATGGATGGATGGATGGATGGATGGATGGATGGATGCTCTCTGCAGAGATTTAAACATCTTTCAGAATAAATTGAATTATTCATGCTCATTCGAGTCCCTCTACAGTATAAAGAGTTTTTTTTTCAATCATTTCCTCATTAAGTTAACGACTTTTCCTTTCATCCACAGGTTTTAAATCCCAAGAAGAAAGGCAAAAAGAAGAAATACATAAATTCTGGCACTGTAAGTTTACCCTGATCAGTTCCTCTTTGCAGCCATGTTCTTAACGCTGTTTTTCTTTGTAAGAAATATTTATTTTTCATTTTTTGGACCTGCTCCTCTCATTGACTTTCATGGTCACCTTGTTTTCTTTCTTTACCATCCTCTCTTCTGTGAGCCAATGTTATTGTCCTTCTCCTCCGTTCATTCGTCCACCATCTGTGTGATGGCCTGTGCGTGTGTTTGTTTGTGCTTGCCAGGTAACTCTGCTGTCCTTCAAAGTGGAGTCGGAGTATACCTTTGTGGACTTCATCCGCGGAGGGTGAGTGGAATGAAAAGTAGCCCCGACACCCAGCACAAGTCAATAGACCCCATTTTTGGTTGCTTGTGCCTGTCTGTGTACTGCCTAAGTCTGTGTGTTTATCTTCATGTGTTTGGCTACAAAAACTTTATTGGATTTTCTCTAAATCTACAATTTAGGCATGGTATTGAATTCCTGTTTGTTCTCAGTTCTCATTGTTGAACACAATTTGCTGTTATGTAATTCATATAGTTTACTTTTAATAACTGCTTCCATTAGTTTGACTCATTTAGACCTTCAGCGTATTGAATTGGCTGTTTGTCATGCCATACTAATTAGCCACCAAGCAGCCAACCAGAAATTGATTGAATTGCAGTGTGTATTTATGGTTGACTGTGTGTTGGATGTATAATCTTTTTTAAGTTTACTGAAGCACATTATGTTGTCTGTTGTTCTCACTCTATATGCAACAGGACGCAACTGAACTTCACAGTAGCTATTGACTTTACAGCATCTAATGGTAAGTCATTGAAAGGCTTCCCTTTAGACAGATAGTGGGCAATGGAGTATTTTTATCCCATGCTAATTCTATAATTTATTTTCACTTATTAAAACAAACAGTACCAGGTTTTCATGGTAGTTTCCTTTTAATAGAATTGATCTGCTAAACTTCCAGAAAACACACAAGGTATAAAGTTTAAAGGACATAGATTAAAAGTTCAAACTTGGTAGGAACATATATTATTAAAAGACATTTCCGTCACCAAGTTAACCGCAGATCCTTGGAGGACATTGAGAAGACTTTCTTTAGAGTCATGAGGGTTTTTTTTTTTGACTGGCTCCCCTAATTTTTAGGACAATGATAGATCTATGACCCATCTTCAGGGTTCTGGTGGAGAGCAAAAGATTATTTTATCGGTTGATTCCTCTGGCCCCTGGAAGGAGTTTTTAAACAACCCAAGACAACTCATGTGGATTGTGGGGGTGTTCTTGTTCTGGTTATAGTCAGCATTGCACTTCCAAACTTTAACTTCCATCCATCCATCCATCCATCCATCCATCCATCCATCCATCCATCCATCCATCCATCCATCCATCCATCCATCCATCCATCCATCCATCCATCCATCCAATCAAATTATTTTTTAAGAATATTTTTTTATTTTTTTTTGCACACTTAAAAACTGTATTCTATAGCACGGAGCTCCAAGGCCTCAGCATATCAAGGTGCGTTGAAGTGATTCAAACCACTTCTAACCAGTTTTTCAAGTACCACCTCATTCACATTGGAAATGAAAACTTTAGAAAATAACTTATGTTAAGTTTTTTTATTCTCACATCTTTTTGTAAAAGATATAACTAATTATGATTTTGCTTGTAATTGTTAATAAGAATCTCTTCTTATTTCAGCTCATGTCAGATATGCATTAAAAACAACAAGCATGTCATTGCAGAAGGTTTTGTTCATTTAGAGAAGTACAGTAATAAGGATTTAGATTAGATTGAAGTTACACAGAAATAAATGCGATGTTCACTATTCCCCAGTATTACTTTAAACTAGGTAGGGAAATATTTTGTCCTTTTGCAGCACATTATAAGAGCGCAAAACTGTGGGTGATAAAGTCATGTTTGAAGGTAAATACTTTACTTTTATAATGCAACACATTTTAGAATACAGTTGTGCCCTTTTATTTCCTGTTAAATGTGATTCTTCATCGTTACAGATTTACTAACACATAAATACCATGATCCATTTAGTATTGATCTTGTCCTGAGCCATAAGGCACACATGTGGAGTATCTGAGAGTGGAGTTAGATAAGAGATAATACATCACTGCATCACTTTTATCTCCTGTAAAAGTAGAAAACCCAGAGTAGAAGACAGAGAGTTTAGAAAATCTTATCTAAAGGCCAGTGGTGAGAGATGGCATTCAGGTATGAACAATATGATATTATGTGCCATAACTGATGTGCTGGAAAACGCTTCAGCATCATAACAATGTAATTACCCTTCATATTCCTATTGACCCACTTTTATATTTACTTATATCAAAGATGTGGTTTTCCTCCACTCAGCTGTCAGTTTTAGCGGGGCAAAAATGGGTTTTTAGAATAATTTTAAAGTTAATCTCTGAGAAGAATACCAAACTCCTGAAATGGAAAGCAAAACCAATTAGCTCCACAATGTTTTCCTGCCTTTCATCACCTGGCTTTTTATTGTGATTGCTTAGATTTCACATTTGGGCATTTTTTCATATCTTTTGGTGCTCTTATAACCACTTGTTTTCATGGAGATTTCTCAAAGGATCATTGATTAAAAAGGTGAAAACATTGCTGATCTGGTCCAGTGAACGGAATCAAACATGGTAGAATGAGAAAATGTCCACCATCATCTGTGCTGTCTGTTTTAAAGATTTTTGAACAAGCCAGTGTGACATAGTTGCGTAAGAGGCATGGATTGTTTCGGGGCCACAATTGCTCTAATATTACATCTTATCTTATCTAGGAGGGCAAAATAGCTGAAAGAAGAAAGTCTGTTTCATGGGATTTCTGTTACGTTGGAGTTCAATAGAGTTGTTTGACTGCATCTCTTCCATTATTCATGTAGTCCAACAAGACATTTACTTGCTATTTTTTCTTTGGATTTGAGTTCTGAATGTTTTGGGGGGGTTTTCTACTCAAATGCGCTACACTTATGACCACCTCTGTTCCTGCTTTACCTAGGACAGGCATGTCATACAACACCAAGCAAACCATTCAAGGGTATCTCTTGGTTTTTCTTAAACCCTACTGATTACATTTTTTGGGAGCAACCATAACTAAACACATCATAAAAACCTGTGTTTGGCCTATAGTAGTGGTGTAATTCAAGCTTTAGATGTGCTATTCTAAGAAATAAACAACCAAGAATTTATTTGGAAAGAGCTTGCAAAGATGCCAATCAGCAGACAGAAATTGTTACTTGGAAGAACATCATGTATCATTTACTTACTTATTATTTATTTATGTAAACATGCTCATCAATCCATAGAACAAAGAACTAAAATAAAGGTAGACTTAATGTGCAGAGGTTTGTATGAAATTACATGTTGTAAGATATACACCAAAGTATTATTTATTTAGATAGTTTGAACAGAAACTAAAAAAGGTTTTAGACATATATCTTATAGCTTTATTTTACTGTAGACACGGTGACAGAGACGTAATCTGAGTTTTTTTTTTTCTCAGTTTTAATGTTTTCAATCTTATTGATTGTGTGAAAGATCTAGAAATAATATTATTGTTGGTAAATGGAGCAGATCTGTGATGGTCAAGCTTGAAAAGTTCAGTTTAGGCTAATGGACGTGAAGTTTCCCAGAAGATGTTTTGCCTCTCATTCAATTCAATTCAGTTCGGTTTATTTATATAGAGCCAATTCACAACACGTCATTTCAAGGTACTTTACAGTTCATCAGATCATCCAGTCAAATAGATTCAAAGTTTTCTATCTAAGGAAAACCAGCTGATTGCATCGACTCATTGACTCGGATACAATCCCTCACTCTAAGCATGCTTGTGGCAACAGTGGAGAGGAAAAACTCCCTTTTAACAGGAAGAAACCTCCAGCAGAACCAGGCTTCCTCAGCAGAGGCTTCCTCAGTTCTAACTAATGATGGGGAGTATTGAAAGTAATATACTGTGGGTGTAACAAGGAATTAGAAAAAAAAAGAAAGGTCCCATACTTGATTGGCCATGGAGGTCATGAAGGTAAATGTAAGAGTTTGTCTGCACATTATGCTATTTCTCATCTCGGCCAAGACATTCAAGAATCTTAATGGATTTTGTCCTGGAAAAATAAATTTTACATTTTTAAAATTTAAAATTGTTTTATACTGTATGCCTTTGAATACTGGAATGTGGGGAAAATAGGCCTGTATGAAGTAAGGGAAGAGAATTTAATAGATGTAGAAACTGTCTCACATCCAGCATCCAGTTCTTTTAACTCCTTGCTGTCAGGTAAGGCATGTTGAAGTAATTTTTTTAAAGAATCAGACACAGACAAGATACATTTTTTTTTTTTCAAAATAAACAGAATACCTCATGCTCAAAACAGGCTTAAATGTTAAATTGCTACAGCATGTTATTTCATTCGGTCAAGAACATAAAGTGTATTATTAATCATACAACTCCTGCTAGGTGCCTCTTCTGTGATGTTTTTCCACTCAGACAATGTTTGACCATCAGCAAATAGAGCAGTATGATATTGGTGAAAACATTTTCAAACAAGGTGGACAGATCTTATTCCTTATTGCTACTGTTTTGTATTTTGGGAATGTGTGTGTGTTCTAAGGTAATCCATCCCAGCCCACCTCCCTCCATTATATGAGTCCCTACCAGATGAATGCATATGCCATGGCCCTAAAAGCAGTGGGGGAGATTATCCAGGACTACGACAGTGACAAGCTTTTTCCTGCCTACGGTTTTGGAGCTAAGCTGCCCCCTGATGGTAAAATCTCCCATGCCTTCCCACTGGTAAGACATACTCATAAAAATAAACTTATAAACGCACACTTGTAGTTGACTTGGACAAAGATGAGTGGCTGTAACAACAGCTGGGCACACAAATTAAGATGATGGCTCATCTGCCTGCCAGCGGGAATCCAGCAGAAACCCTCTACTTTCACCTCATTCAATCAAGAGGGAATGGTAGGAGGTGGTCACATGAAACTGAGGGGCTTGTTTTGTTAAATACAAGGTAATTCTTCAAGGGCTTTACAAGGAATTTAAAGAAGCTGAATTAAAAGGAGAGGTGGATGAATAAAAATACATTTTTAAATTTGTTTTTTAATTCTGTAATTTTTGTTAGTATTACATCTTGACTTTTACTTTATGTCTGAGCTCCCCAAATATCATGCTGGCAACATACAGTATGTACTATATATTTACATTATACTGTTCTCTACAGACTGCAAGCAGAAAACTGCTGGTGTAAAAATGTCTTTCTGTCCCGACAAAATTTATGATATTAAGGTACTAATTAACCACAAAAATGTGATTCGGAATTAGATGTAGTCTCTTAATTCTCCAAATACCTTAAAGGCTTAGCTCAGCATCGCTAAATTAGATAATTATTTTTCCAACTGATTTTTTCTTGTGTAAACATACCAATATACCAACCAAAATACCATACCAATGTGCCTATGTTTCAAAGGGCTGAACTGTGTTTTTGCCTTTTCTATTTCATCATACCTTAGACTGGCTTAACAGTAGACAAATCTCTTTATGACGCCCCAATCATTAAGGCTAGGAAGAAACATCTTTGGTTTGGGGACTGAGAAAATTTGACTATCTATAAGAAAAACTGTAAAAGGAATATAGGTTTTTTCCTCATAACCAATAATTAGTAATCCTACTTAGCTAACAAACATATACATTAAAAACCGTAGTTTAAGGCTCATCCCATCCATCTATGTATGACCAATGGCTGAAAGGCGACTAAAATACCTTTTGTGATAACCTGCTTGTGTGAGTGTGGCTTTTTAACTATAAAAGTACTTAAAACAAAACATGGAGCACCTCTACAGTTCGATAATGATATGCAAATTACACTAGGCAGAGACATTAGGCCCAGCTTAATGCCTGTCCCACTTCACACACACCTGAGAGAGTTTTGATTTTTTTTTCAAACATCTTGAACATTTTGTTCTGCTCATCAACAGTTTATTGAAAAGTTTGCTATTCAGTTAGAATTGCAGACCTCAGTTGACTAAAAATTAGTGCTGTCAATCGATTAAATTTTTTTAATCGCGATTAATCGCATCAATGCCTGAGTTAACTCGCGATTAATCGCATTTTAATCGCAAATTTTTTTTCTGATTGAAAATCATTCAAATACTCTCGATGACATACAAAAAATACATACAGGCTAGGTTTGTGCCAATGTTCTTTTTTTAAAATAAGAACAGGTCACAGATACTGATATATGCCATAGAAACATATGGCAAGAAGATGGCATGTAGCAAAAAATAACAAATATGTAGCCAAAAAAAAGGCCCTGAAAACAGGCTGATGTAAAAGACAGTCTTTACAGTTAATACAGTCTTTTGAACAAAGACAAGCATTTTACCCTACTGCTATAAAATGTAGTACAGTTAACATTAGATGTTAATTAACCAAGATAATAATGAACAATTTTCAATCAATGCATCAAAATCAATAGACCGACATCACTAGATGGAGGCAGTCTATGAAAGTTACTTTTCAGACTCTTAACAAAAATGAGAACACACACACACACACCCACCCACCCACCCACACACACACAGACACACCCACCCACACACACACACACGATACCGAGCTGTGACAGCAAGAGTGCCGTAGCAGATTCCATTTCACCTCAGTAATCTGTTTTCTCAGCGTATTTCAGGTTGCTACTAGTTACCAGACACTCAACTTGTTTGTTGGTTGTGGGGCTTAAAGAAAAGGCACTAGCGCTACCCAGTGTATGAGCGTCTTTTTTCCTTGAGGAGCTCCGCTCTGGAAGCCTATGAGAAATGCACAGACTGGGGGAAAATAGCCCCGCCTTCCCGCAGGCTGCAGCGGGATGTACTTGGAAAATTGTACCATAAAACCACATAGCGTTAATCTCACGTTAAAAAAATTATCGCCGTTAAAATGGCCTCGCGTTAACGCGATAATAACGCGATAATTTTGACAGCACTACTAAAAATAAGAAAAAAAAACATTAAAAAAGTGAATTCTACTTTTGGATTTTGTTGCGTTGTCTGTTAGTTTGGGAAGGGGGTCTCCACTCAGAAGCTGGTTTTGTTTGGGGGACCATAACGTGAAAAGGTTTAGGAACCCCAGACCTATGGTAACAACTAAGCATAGAGGGGGAAAAAAAACACAATATTATATTTAATCCCAACAACTTCCTCTCTTCCCCTCTTTTACCATGCTCTGTAATGAAAATAAAGATTTAGGAAATATAAACAGTAATCCTGCCCTATTGCTGGTTTGTTCCTCATTCTGACTGTCCGCCACTTGTTGTTGATGACATTTGTTTAGCCAAATTATGTTAAAAGTCTGGTTTTGTCGTTACATGCTAAAGTTTTCTCTTGATTTTTGCCTATTGAAAGTGGTGTACTTCACTTATTCAAAGGAACAAAAAAACATAATTCATTATTTTAGATTGAAAGAACTGATGAATATTCATGTGAAGAACTAATGGTATGACATCAAACACCACCTCTAGGGTGGCCATTTCTATAGCACCAAAAAGGAGGACATTGTGTGGCATATCAATAAATTACTAAGGTGTACATAAGAATAAGGTAAAGTCAAATTTATAGTACAATTCTTAGTAGTTCAAAGAGGATGCTTGTGTAGCTGAATAGAACAAAATATCAAAGAAATGTAAAAAAGAATTGGTTCCCAGCATTTGCATCTATTTAATACATTGTGGTGTTTAAAAAGTGACCACCAAGATGAATCTTTAAAGTGCAGAATACCACAAAGCATAAGATGTGTGGACTTAAACATTAAAAAAATCGTTTTAACAATAAACATTCATAATAAAATAGCCTAATATTTTTTAAACAACAAAAGAGATTGTAGAAAACACATTTAACTGCTCTAAAAGTATAGCTTTATTTTTAAGAGCCTCAGTCTTTTGGGAACTTATCTTAAGTGTCTGTGTGCAGCAGACCTGTCTTTGTGGTCATCCCTTTAGCTATAGGCCAATCACTGAAATCCACTTTCACGTCACAGTCTACACTTCCGTAGGACTAGCGATGTTTTATAGTATAGTCCACCTTGCAGCTCTGCACAAGTTATTTTAGCATCCAGGGGCGACAAAACTTAACGTAAAAGCCAACATTGAAGAGTTTGCTGCTGCACGTATATTACTTTTATGTTAATCTGTACTCGTATGCCATTCAATTGCAGCTTTTCCTCGAATGCTTACGCTCACATCGCATCGGCAAAGTGGCAGAAACCATGGAATGAATCTCCACTACCTTTGGTCATAAATTCACGCTCTTTTGTCCATTCTGGGTTAAAGTTAGCGTACTGGTTTTGACAGGACGCTAACTTTAATACTTTGCATCAATAATTCTGATCCTTGTTTACTTGTGTAACCAATGACAAGCAGATCTTTACCTGACACGCCGTCACTCTTAGCCAATCATCTGTTAGATCAGATAGTGATGCATTTTTGATGATTGGATATTGTGCTGCAGCCCAGCAAAAAAAATAAATAAAAATCTGCTCTACAAGACTAGTGCCTCATAAAGGAGGACAAATACGCATCCGGCTGGATGCAGCGCCGGACGCCGGACAGTGCAATTAAAATCCGGACTGCCCACCCTAAAGCCGGACGTCTGGCCACCCTAACCACCTCTCTGTGTTGTTCTCCAGCCTCTTGATTACAAGCCGGGCTGGATGCATGTACTTCCATAAGCAGAGCTACCACCCAGCTCAGGCTTTAGCCCCTATAAAGTGCCACCGACACAACAACATTGTGTAGGAGTAAAATGGAGAGTCACCCGATTGAAATGTTGACCTGAACATCTCCGACCAAAGGGAATTTCTCTTGCCAGAAGCATTAAATGAGGTTTTTAATTCTTCAATAGACATGTTCCTGTTAAAGATTATCCTGATTTTCTGTGTATTTATCCTTTGAAAATATGTTTATTCGAGGCATTCAGTTAGAAGGGTGGAGGGTCGGTTCAGGGCAGGGTTGGAGTTTGCTCTGAAAAGTAGAAAAAGGTTAGACATCTTGTTTTGGTCTACAGACAGTGGTCAGCAGCCTACCTAGTTATGAAATATTATCGCTCCTTTAATGGTGAAATCATGAGCAATAAATAAGAGGTTGGCTTCAGTGACATGTTTTTCATTTTAACAGCCATAAATTTATGTTATAGAAGTATTATGTGCATTTAGCAATTAAATGAATGTAGATAGATAGGCTAAAGAGTGGGAAATAATTGTATATTTGTTTGAAAATAACTTAAAGGTAAAGAAGATATGAGTCTTTGTTTGGTTTTTCTTTCAGTTGATTTCCCTTCTCCTAATTTTGGATAATATTATTTCTGAATTGGATCAATGATTGGATTAGAAGTGGATCATTGTATCCCTATAATGATTGGAAATGAAATATTGTCCCTTAAGCAGAAGTGTGAGAAAACATGTTTATAGTTGCAGTATTGCAGTAAAGTGAACTAGTTTAGTTTGGCTATATATGTTCTTCCAGTTTAACTCACTTCATACAATGAAACATTATGCTTTGCTTTCTTATGGCCTGTCCACAATTTTATGCAAAATGAGGCTTTGGTGCAACATTTGAGAATAGCCTATAATTTCATATAACCCATTTACATTAAGACAGGAATTAGATATTCTTTTTCTTTTCTTTTTTTTTTTGGGGGAAAAAAATGGAACAACAAAGTATTTCATAAATAAACTACACAATCCCCTTGCCTCCTATTAAACAAGTTCTTCCCTGTGCAGGTTTCCCTATTATACGGTTTCTAAATGTTGTATTCTCTGTGTTACAGAATGGCGACAGCGACCATCCAAACTGTGTAGGCATCGAGGGAGTTTTGGAGTCTTATTTCCAGAGCCTGAGGACAGTGCAGCTTTATGGACCCACTAACTTTGCACCCGTTATCAACAAAGTAGCAAAGTAAGCCTGAAATTTTATTTTATTTATTTATTATTTTTACCAATAATATAGACACCCTGTTGAAATGAATCCCACTTATTCTAGCCAATGAATTAATGTCCACTCAAAGAAGAGAGGTTTATTATTTATTAATAAGATCATTATTTAATAACACTTGAATTGTCAGTTCTTTGTGTGCCCTCGTTTTTTACTGTCTGTTGCTTTAGATTGAATGGCGAGGTCCTATGTGTTTGGATTATGACACTGTTCAGGAAGAAAAAAAACACTGTAATGACATAATTTTAGAGTTAAAAGAGAAGGGTTCAAAAAAGGTGTACTTTCCTTTTATCGTGACTTTGTACAGAATTATAAGGCTGGTGCCTCATAAACTTATTTTCTCTTTCACATTCTTCTGTTGTTTAAAAAGGTTTTTGGGAGATGGCCCTAATTATTTTTTAAGGAAATTTCTAGCCACCTTCAATCTACATATTATTGAAACATTTAGGACCAATTTCCTGCCTGATCTTATTTACAACCCTGTAATAATTTGTAGCCTCTCTGATTGGTTTGAAGGAAATATTATTTTATGGAATACCATAGATTTAAGATTGACTGAAGCAGAAATACAATTTACACTCTGCCTTTGAAATTGTGCAATCTCTTTTGACTTAGCTAAAACTGTTGTTAAATACAGAAATATCCAAAGTCACGGTTTTTGCAAATGGAAAACAGATATACTCCAATCTTCTAAAAGTTAAAACCACTGTGGGTTCAGAGATTTAAGTAGTGTCTATTTATAGGTACTTAGGTATTATAATTGACCAAAGTCTGTCTTTTATGACAAACATTTAGGGCCTTGTTAGACAGTTGAGGCTAATATTGTGTTTCTTCTACATGAACAAATCTTATTTTTCTCTTCTTGGAAAGAAACATCTTATTTCTGCAACTTTTTTTGTTTACCTGTGCTCTTCTTATTATGAATGCATCTTTACACCTTAAAAAAATGTGAACCATGGTGCTATGTGTTTCATTACTGGTTGTGGAATTCATGTTCTCCATTGTACCCTGTGTGCTGTTGCTGGGTAGAACACATCATAGAGAATAAAATATGAAACAAGAGATATGACAGGGACACAGGCATGGAGTGGAATGGGACAGAGAATACAACAATTAAAGAAACAAGCACAGAACAATGACAACCAGGCAGTTCGAATACAGGTGGATTATGGGGAGAAGACATGACAGGAGGTAGGAGCAATCCTGAGGAGAAAAAGACAGCTGAGACCAATAAAGAGAGAAAGCTGAGGAGAAGCAGAAAATAATAAGACCAGACAAAGAGGAACAGAGGAAAAATATCTAACATAGAATAAAGTAGGGGTGGGCGATAATTCAATTACCATATATATCGATCGATAGACGTGTGGCGCAATAGAAAAAAAGAGAGTCGATAAAAGTTTGATAAAAAAGAAACGCAGTTTTCCTTCCTTCTCATTGTAGCCTAGCATGTAGGTTTATGCTAGTCACTGCTTCCTCCCAACCAATCACAATCGCAGACCCAGGCACGCCGTCACCAAGCACCGCCCTCTCAAACCCCAACACAGAGCACATGAAGATGCAGCAAGGAGAGGCGGAGGAAATTGTTCCAAGGAAAGGTTTTTGTAGTTCGGCAGTCTGGCAGTATTTCGGTCATGGCAAGTCGGACAAAAAACAAACCACAGTCATCTGGAAAATGTGTCGGGAACCAGTGAAAACGAAGTCTGATAACACAACCAACTTTTTTTTTTTTATCATCTCAGCCGCTCACAGCCACAGGAGTACGAGCTGTGTAGGCGTGGTTCTCCTCCGAGGAATCTTCGGGAATTTCGGGAAAATATATATATATTTTCAGTTCTGGGCAGTTTCCCACGTAGTTCTAACAATTCAGAGAAAAATGCTGACGGGCCAGAAACTTCAAAGTAATAACTCAGGTTAAAGCAGGAAACGGGGGCGGCGGTAGGGGGGCATTTATTTATTTGTTATATTTATTTTGGTCACTTTTCTAGTCACTTTAGTTTATTCTTTTGTCAGTATTTAATAACATAACCCAGGTCTCTTAAGTTATTTTTCTTTAAAACAATTCTGTTATGGTTAAAAAAGTTGGTTAAATAAAGATTTAATTTGAAGTCTGTGTTTGTGTTTTTTATTAAAATTAAATCATTTAGCAATATTATAAAAAGTCCAGGCAGAGCTGCACATAAAATATGGTTTCAAATCTTTTCAATAATTATCGATATCGATCAATATGCATTTTTTTTTATCGATAAGCTTTTTTTCTATATCACCCAGCCCTAGAATAAAGAACCTTTAAGTTAAACACAAAAATGAACAAAACAAGTTAAAGAGAGATGGCGGAATTAGAGAACATGGACAAGACCTAACAGAAACAGAAAACCTGAACTTCTTAAGATCCCAGATATTTTAATTGATTCAAATACATTATACAGCAGATTAATCAGTGAATAATATTGAAACAACTTTGTATTATATCATTTTATCAACAAAGAATCATATGGACTGTAAATAATCATCTATTCAAATTAATCAAATAACAGAAAAATATTTTAACATGACGTGAAGTTGGTGAGACTTTGGCCAAATAACAACTCACACTTAACCACTCACTTATTAGTGAAGGTAGCATGGAACAGCTTCTACATTATTAGATTCTGAATTAAAAAATTATTTTGAAAAGTATGCAGTATCAAGCCTCATCTTTTGTTTTAATGGTGTCCATGGAACAGTTTCTTACGAATTCCGGTTGTAAATCTCTCCTTCAGGTTTTAATGGAAAGAGCTCCTCATTTAAAAAGAGGGTACACAATGGTCTTTAAAAACATTTAAATAACTGAGTGGCTGAACGGTTGCCTGATGTTTTACTCATGTTATTGGAGAGCTTTCCGCATTCTTCTGGAATAATAAAATGATCCTGGAGGTGCAGAAAGATCATTTCCATTCAAGTATGAATATTTGGAACTATGGGAGACGGAATTTACCATGAATATAAAAAAAACTGGCACCTTTTGACATGGAGGAGCAACAATTCTACTCCAAGATCCTCCCAGATAAAGTACGCCCAGCCACCCTGCAAAATAAATTAATTTCGGACGCTTGTATTTGAGATTTTTTCATTTTGGTCATTACCCAGATCTCATGACCATAGGTAAGGGTGGGAACATAGATTGATTGGTAAATTGAGAGCTTTGACCCCGACTCAGCTCCCTCTTCACCACGCAGTCCAATACAGCGACTGCATCACTGCCAATGCTCCACCGATCCATCTATTGATTTCACGCTCCATCTTTCCCTCAATCCAGATACTTGAACTCCTCCACTTGAGACAAGGGCTCGCCACTGAGTCCACCTTTCTCCGGTGTAGAAACATGGCCCCGGATTTCAAGGCCCAACATCATCTGCAAACAGCAGATATGAAATCCCGAGGTTCCCAGACTGAACACCCTAAGGTCCCTGGCTGCACCTAGAAATTCTGTCCATAAACAGAACCGGTGATAAAGGGCAGCCCTGGCGGAGGCCAACATGCACCAGGAACAGGTCTGACTCCTGGCAATGTGAACCAAGCTTCTACTGCAGTCATAGAGAGAACGTACAGCCGTTAACAGAGGTCCCCGGACCCCATACTCCCAGAGCACCGCCAAGAGGGCACCATGAGGGACACGGTCGAACACCTTCTCCAAATCCATAAAACACATGTGGACTGGTTTGTGAATTCCCACGAACCGTCAAGCACCCGATGAAGGGTGTAGAGCTGGTCCTGTGTGCTGCGGCCGGGAGAAAAACCACATTGTTCATCCTGGATCTTAGGTTCAACTATTGGCCAGATCCTCCTCTCCAGCATCTGGAGTAGACCTTACCGGGGAGGCTGACAAGTTTGATCACTCTGTAACTGGTGCACCCTCGAAGTACTCCTTCCGCCACCTGACAACATCCAAAGTCGAGGTCAGCAACTCGCCACCTGCACTGTAATGAGTGTTGGCGAAGCATTGCTTCCCACTAAGGCAGCTGAAAGTTTGCAAAGAACACTTTAGAGGCTGGCCCACGTCGTCTGTTCGGGCTGGTCCTGACCGGAGGGCAAAGGCTCGGCCACCAGGCGCTTGCATACGAGCCCCAACCCCAGGCATGGCTCCAGGAATGGGGCCCCAGCTGCACCATAACAGACGATGTCATGGTCCTTGGTTTAACTCTCTCCATTAGGGTCGTCTGAGCTTCTCTTAACCTGACCTGCCATCTACTGTAGGACCTTTTTTGGCATAGGACACCCTACTAGGGTCATAACGCCCTGGACAACATAGCTCCTAGGATCATTCAGGCACTCAAATAAACCCCACCACGTTAAGGTGGCAGCTCGTGGGGTGGTGAGAAAAGTTGATTTGCTATTCTGATAATTTTTAAAATATCCTATTTAAAGCTTTTGAAAAACTGTTGGCCTTTCTGGTCATGTTGGAGAGCATGCTGATGTTTGAATATACCAGTTTTTTCAGCTGGAAGTATTTCATGCATGCTCTATTTTCCTTCTCTGTTATGTGCAATGTTTGTTTCCAGATTACCTTCTGCATCAAAATGTGCCTGGTCCCTTGATAAAAACAGCATTCTTTCTTTGTTTAACCAGCTTTTGTTGAATTTAAATGAGGATCAGGAAGTCCTGATGCTTTGAGGGAAAAAAGAATAACTCAATGCAGCTCTAATAGTTTATTTCATTCTTTTACTCAGCCGATAATACCAAGGAGTATTCAAATCCTTTATTGCATGGACTAAATAGAATACACCATGCGTTGTGCTTAAACCCCACACTTTTCATTTCCTTGTATTAATGTAGAAAATATGTTCTGTTTCTCTATCCAGATATTTCTTAAATAGGGCAAGTGTTTGCATGAAACCAGGTGAGACCCTTTTCAACCCGAAAGCATCAACTCTATCATCAGAAAACTGGATCCGGCTTGGTTTGCTATGTTTTAGAAAATAACTGGTTTCCCCGTAAGGCTGAGGGTGAGCTTATTAATAAAACCGTTAAATGTACAGTATAAGCTTTGTGGACAACGGCAAGCATGTTAAAAGGTTTGAACATTATCTGAAAATTTTGTTAGTTTTGTTTTATTAAACCCCACTATCGCTCTCAATCAAAATATATACATATGTTTTGAGGTTTATTCAAAAAAAAAAAAAAAGAAAGAAAGGCTGGCACAGTAACAAGAAAAATTATCTCTTCTTCCTGTTAGCTTTATTATCATGTATTATCTGAAGCTGCTTTCATGACTGCTGTTTTTAGCTGAATTGGTAGATTTTTAGTTCTTTTGTTACATGCCTGGGCACAGATTCAATTAAATTTTTTAGGCTTCAATAGGAGTTCCCTGAGGGTTGAAACTGACAATCTTTATGGGGTCCTGGTGTTTTTAAGTCCAGCTCAAAACAGAATCTGACAGCTCAAGTACCCATGATATACATTGCTCTAGTTGGGAGTGGGGTGCAATAATGCCTATTGATAGTAATTTTGAATTACAAATATTGTTGTTATTATTAGTAGTAGTAGTAGTAGATGCAGTAGTATAAAAGAGCAATCAAATAACAAAAACAGGGGCTTTTGTTTTGCCGAATGTGTTTTGATGGCCAGTGTTGAAGCTCAGTTAGTTTTCCTGTGATAACATCAGATATCACAGCACAAAACGACCCCAGATGTTTGATTTCTAGAGCTTGATTCAACCTCTGTCCTTTTCCAGAGGACATGCAGGTGCTCTTTGAATTTCTATTCCTCATCAGAATGTTAGCTTTAAAGTATGGAGGGGTGTGTGTTTGTGTGTCCCCAGCTGTGCAGCAGAGATTACAGATGGCTCTCAGTACTTTGTGCTGCTGATGATCACAGATGGAGTGATATCTGACATGGTCCAGACCAAAGAGGCAGTGGTTAATGTGAGTAAACAAACATGCACATACACTCCACACATGCAAACAGAAACTACAAAAAATAGACACAATCTTATTACATCATAGTTCTTTTAAAAAAACAATTATAGTCCTTTCATCTTAGCACTGGTACAACTCTACTCTGTTTATTTATATAGCGCCAATTCACAACACATATCATCTCAAGGCACTTTACAGTTCACCAGATCATACAGTCAAATTGATTCAAAGTTTTCTTTTTAAGAAAAACCAGTTGATTGCATCGACTCATTGACTAAAAGGCAAACCCTCACACTTAGCATGGTTGTAGCGACAGTGGAGAGGAAAAACTCCCTTTTGACAGGAAGAAACCTCCAGCAGAACCAGGCTCAGTGTGAGCGGCCATCTGCTGAGGCCGACTGGGGTTCAGGGAGACAGAAGCAGAGATACAAAACGCAGCTGTAAATCCCTCCAGGAAACACACAGCCAGTAAGACAAGCTCCGAGCCAACTTCCATGTCAGAGGATGAAGAGACCACATCCAGCCAGTCACAGTCAGAGAAACAGGACTACACTGGAAAACAGGCCGATCTCGAAACATCTATAAACAAAGGTGTTGATGGAAGGAGCAAAGCTGATATTTTTCTCCAGGATGGTTTCACAGCCAAATAGGAACAGACTAGGTGAAGCTACAATTAGAAAAAGCAGAGAGAGCATAACGTTAGAGATTGAACTAATAGATTCTGCAGAGTGGGAGAATAGAGAGAATGATGCAGAATGATGAAATAGGGATCCCTTTGTCCTCCAGAAGTCTAAGCCTATAGCAGCATAACTGTAGAGATATCTCAGGATAACCTGAGCCCCTCTAACTATAAGCTTTATCAAAAAAGAAAGTTTTAAGCCTTAAAAGTAGACAGGGTGTCTGCCTAATGAACTAAAACTGGTCCCACAGGAGAGGAGCCTGATAGCTAAAAGATCTGAGTCCCATTCTACTTTTAGTAATTCTAGGACCCACTAGTAAACCTGTGGGCTGAAAGTGAAGTACATAATGTGCATTGATTCATCCCATCATGATGTCTTTTCAGGTTAACAGAAAAAGGCCCTACATCTTAAAAGATATGTATTTATATTTAGTTTAGATAAAAATACTGCCTGTCAGGTTATGGACCCTGCAAGGGAAAACTCCCAGATAATTGCTTTTAACCTCCCAAAGCTCCTGCTCTAAAAAAGTGTTGACATCTCATCGAACCTCTGCTATAAGTGTTTTTTGGGGTGTTACATCAGATTAAAGGCATTTCCTAAACTAATGCTGAAGTACCTGCTTCACCTTATCCCTGAATTTTCCCTGAAGGGAAGTGCAAACGCCCCCATTACACAGAAAATGACAGTGTTGAGAATCGACCAAGCTACCTTTTACAAGTGGACTAATGTTGGTTTCCTTCTGTAAAATGCTGCTGTCAGAGGTTCAGACAGCAGCAGCAATAGAAGTGAATTTGATCCATTTTTTTTCCATTTGGCTCAATACAGAAATACAACATGCATTCTTACACAAACACCTAAAACTAATTTATTTTTTGCTATTATTTACTTTCCTCAGTAAAAAGAGTGGTAAACAGTCATCATAAATTAGGCTACGTTCACACAGGAGTCTAAAGTGACACAAATCCGATTTTTTTTCGCCCATATGCGACCTGTATCTGATCTTTTCAGGGCAGTCTTAACAACACAGATCCATTTTTTTTCCAATGGGACCCAGGCCACTTGGGTATGTGGTCCTGAACGTATCTGATCTTTTCAAATGCGACCTGTGTCTGTACAGCCAGGTCACATTCATCCGATCTGAACGCTATTGGTAGCCGACATAGGTCACTAATCTGTGTCTTGCTATGCAGAAGCAGCAAGAAAAACAAAAACCATGGAGGACAATAATGCGGAGAGTAGTATTTATGTTTAACCATCTTGAAAGATTGAGTTTTTAAATGTTGGGAAAGATTGTTAGTCTCCAGAACTACAATCCATGTTTGCTTCCGTAAACACAGAGCACGCTTGCTTGTTACGCCATTGCGTGCTCTGCTGTGCATGCAGGACACTGTATGAGTGCAGTTCACACAGGAGATTACATACAAGTCGCACATATTTGGAAATGTGAACGGCAATGCCAAAAATTCAGATTTCACAAAAAAATCAGAATTGAGCATTAAGGCCTGCAGTGTGAACGTAGCTTTAGAATCTTAATACATTTGAACAAACTCATAATCTTTAAATGTTGAGTACATCTGCTAAAAAGTCATTAATTTTATTTCGTTTTTTGTCTTTTTACAGGCAGCATCACTTCCTCTCTCCATTATCATTGTTGGTGTAGGGCCTGCTGAGTTTGATGGTAAGCAGAATTATATTTTTCATAAGAGTGGACATGACAGAGAGAAAGTGTAGTTTTTATCATCTTTTATGTAGACATTTGAAATGGTTTGAGATTTAGCAAAACACTGTTAAGTTAGTAAACTATTTAACAATTTTAGTAAGTATTGAAGTGTCATCGAATAAAAATGTTTATTTGTGACTATAGTGTTGTTCTCTTGTCCTTAAGTAGTGACAAACCCTCACAGACAGCATACAAATAAGGACATTTTAAAAGGAATAAAGCTGTGATTTTCTGAAAAATATACTTAATTTTCTTTTCTTTAGATCAATGTAACATTTATTTTCTATTCTAAATACACAGGTCCTTCTCAAAATATAAGCATATTGTGATAAAGTTCATTATTTTCCATAATGCAATGATACAATTTGAACATTAATATATTTTATATTCATTGCACACTAAATTAAATATTTCAGGTCTTTTATTGTCTTAATACGGATGATTTTGGCATACAGCTCATGAAAACCCAAAATTCCTATCTCACAAAAGTCAACCTTTAAATAATTATGTACAGTTATGCACTCAATACTTAGAAATTACATCTTCAATGCGCCGTGGCATGGAGGCAATCAGCCTGCGGCACTGCTGTGGTGTTATGGAGGCCCAGGATGCTATGATAGTGGCCTTTAGCTAATCCAGAGTGTTGGGTCTTGCCTCTCTCCACTTTGTCTTCACAATTTCCCCCAGATTCTATATGGGGTTCAGGTCAGGAGAGTTGGCAGGCCATTTGAGCAGGTTATACCATGGTCAGTAAACCATTTACTAGTGGTTTTGGTACTGTGAGCAGGTGCCAGGTCATGCTGAAAAATGAAATCTTCACCTCCATAAAGCTTTTCAACAGATGGAAGCATGAAATGACGTCATCCTGAAAAAAACATCAGCTGTGCTGCTTCTATCAACACCCTTGTTAATAGATGTTGGAGATCGGCCTGTTTTCCAGTGTGGTCCTGTTTCTCTGACCGTGACTGAGTGGATGTGCTCTCTTCGTCCTCTGGCATGGGAGCTGCCTTGGAGCTCGTCTGCCTGGCTGTGTGTTTCCTGGACGGGGCCGCCTTTTACAGCTGCTTTTTGTATCTCTGCTTCTGTCTCCTTGAACCCCAGTCGGCCTCGGCAGATGGCCGCTCACACTGAGCCTGGTTCTGCTGGAGGTTTCTTCCTGTTAAAAGGGAGTTTTTCCTCTCCACTGTCGCTACAAGCATGCTTAGTGTGGGGGATTGTATTTGAGTCAATGAGTCAATGCAATCAACTGGTTTTCCTTAGATAGAAAACTTTGTATCAATTTGACTGTATGATCTGGTTGAACTGTAAAGTGCCTTGAGATGACATGTGTTGTGAATTTGGCGCTATATAAATAAACTGAATTGAATTGAAATGCTCCAAAATCTCCTGATAGCTAGCTGCATTGGCCCTGCCCTTGATAAAACACAGTGGACCAACACCTGCTGCTGACATGGCGCCGCAGACCATCACTGACTTTGGGTACTTGAGACTGGACTTCTGGCATTTTGGCATTTCCTTCTCCCCAGTCTTCCTCCAGATTCTGGCACCTTGATTTCCCATTGACATGCAAAACTGAGCAACAGTCCAGTGCTGCTTCTGTGTAGCCCAGGTCAGGCGCCTCTGCCGCTGTTTCTGGTTCAAAAGTGGTTTGACCTGTGGAATGCAGCACCTGTAGCCCATTTCCTGCACACGCCTGTTCAAGTGGCTCTGGATGTTTCTACTCCAGACTCAGTCCACTGCTTCCGCAGGTCCCCCAAGGTCTGGAATCAGCCTTTCTACATCTTGCTCAGCGTCCGGTCACCTCTTCTCGTTGTGCAGCATTTTCTGCCACACTTTTTCCTTCCCACAGGCTTCCCACTGAGGTGCCTTCATACAGCACTCTGGCAACACTCAATTTATTTATAAATATTTCTTTCTTTGTCGTAGCCTTTTGCTTGAGGGTGTCAATGACGGCCTTCTGGACAGCAGTCAGGTCGGCAGTCTTATCCATAATTGGGGTTTTGAGTGATGAACCAGGCTGGAAGTTTTAAATGCCTCAGAAATCTTTTGCAGGTGTTTAGAGTTAATTTGTTGATTCAGATGATTAGGTGCATAGCTCGTTTAGAGACCTTTTTAATGATATGCTAATTTTGTGAGATAGAAATTTGGGGTTTTCATGAGAGTTATGCCAAAATCATCCGTATTGAGACAATAAAAGACCTGACATACACTATATTGCCAAAAGTATTTGCTCACCCATCCAAATTATTGGAATCAGGTGTTCCAATCACTTCCATGGCCACAGGTGTATAAATTCAAGCACCTAGGCATGCAGACTGTTTTTACAAACATTTGTGAAAGAATGGGTCGCTCTCAGGAGCTCAGTGAATTCCAGCATGGAACTGTGATAGGATGCCACCTGTGCAACAAATCCAGTCGTGAAATTTCCTCGCTCCTAAATATTCCACAGTCAACTGTCAGCTGTATTATAAGAAAATGGAAGTGTTTGGGAACGACAGCAACTCAGCCACGAAGTGGTAGGCCACGTAAACTGACGGAGCGGGGTCAGCGGATGCTGACGCGCATAGTGCGAAGAGGTCGCCAACTTTCTGCAGAGTCAATCACTACAGACCTCCAAACTTCATGTGGCCTTCAGATTAGCTCAAGAACAGTGCGCAGAGAGCTTCATGGAATGGGTTTCCATGGTCGAGCAGCTGCATCCAAGCCATACATCACCAAGTGCAATGCAAAGCGTCGGATGCGGTGGTGTAAAGCACGCCGCCACTGGACTCTAGAGCAGTGGAGACGCGTTCTCTGGAGTGACGAATCGCGCTTCTCCATCTGGCAATCTGATGGACGGGTCTTGGTTTGGCGGTTGCCAGGAGAACGGTACTTGTCTGACTGCATTGTGCCAAGTGTAAAGTTTGGTGGAGGGGGGATTATGGTGTGGGGTTGTTTTTCAGGAGCTGGGCTTGGCCCCTTAGTTCCAGTGAAAGGAACTCTGAATGCTTCAGCATACCAAGACATTTTGGACAATTCCATGCTCCCAACTTTGTGGGAACAGTTTGGAGCTGGCCCCTTCCTCTTCCAACATGACTGTGCACCAGTGCACAAAGCAAGGTCCATAAAGACATGGATGACAGAGTCTGGTGTGGATGAACTTGACTGGCCTGCACAGAGTCCTGACCTCAACCCGATAGAACACCTTTGGGATGAATTAGAGCGGAGACTGAGAGCCAGGCCTTCTCGTCCAACATCAGTGTGCGACCTCACAAATGCGCTTCTGGAAGAATGGTCAAAAATTCCCATAAACACACTCCTAAACCTTGTGGACAGCCTTCCCAGAAGAGTTGAAGCTGTTCTAGCTGCAAAGGGTGGACCGACGTCATATTGAACCCTATGGATTAGGAACGGGATGTCACTTAAGCTCATATGTGAGTCAAGGCAGGTGAGCAAATACTTTTGGCAATATAGTGTATGTCAGTTAGTGTGCAATGAATCTAAAATATATGAATGTTTGAGTTTTATCATTACATTATGGAAAATAATTAACTTTATCACAATACAGTAATATATTGAGAAGGACATGTAGAGATTTTTAGGGGATTGATAGGAAGTTAAGCAGAGTAAGTGATAAATTATGCATGTTGATTAATTTTAGAATTACCCACTTGCCTTAATGACTTTTCACTCAAGCTCTGCCGAAGTGTGGTTGTCCTGATCTCCGTTCCTTGATATTCAATTTTTAAAATTTTATTTCAGACACTTTAAGCTTTTCAGAAACAGTCAGAAGGAGTAGAATCAACTTTAAGAAATCTAAAAACAGTAAAAAACAAAAATGGCTTAATAAAATGCTTATTTGTATTTGCTGCTACTGCTGTCCTTATATACATTCAGCCAGTGTCAAAAATTTAAGGCTCTAAACATAAAATAGCTCATAATCATAGAAAGATAAGTATTACAGTGTTTGCAAAAATGTTTTAACATTAATAAAACTTTGGTTGATTGTTTGATGTAGCCCCCTTTACTCTGAGACTCCTACTAAAAATGATAACAAAAAAAGGCTGATTACTCTCTAATGAAGATCATGATACAATTTCAGTGTAATTTTAATCTCAACTTGTGTTCTCTGCAGCAGGGATATTGTGATACAACACTGCAATTTTCATATTGACAGAATACAATATCAGCTCTAGTCATACACACTTTTATTGCTTCCTTCATGGTGTGGAATCTTGCTCCTACACTGTAGCTGTAAAGTTCGACAGATGGATTTAAAAAAAAAATATATATATATATATATAACTATTACTAAGCATTACTAACTATAGCAGAAAGAGAGACAAATGAGTAAAACAAACAAGCATGCAAACATGAATTATTCAACTCATTTAAATCTGTCATGCGATTCATTTTTATAGTGCGATTAATTGTTTTATTGTCTATTGTGACAGCCCCTTATTCTTATGTTGGAGATTCTTAAATGCAGGTCTATAGATTATATTTTCTTGGCTGATATTGGACCAATTTCCAATATCAGATTGGGACATCCCTATTCTGAAGGCTTAAAGATAATGTTTTAAAACAAACAGTTTCATGACCGAGTTTTAGGGCACCTCAAAGGTGTGACGTTGAGTTGGGCTTCAAAATTAGGATACAACCTGTGAGCATCTTAAAAAGAAGCAGTCAGAAAACCTGCTCTACTCTTAAGGAGCTGCAGATTTATATTGCGCAATAATTACAGTTTACAGTTTTGCACTTCACCAGCATGGTCTTTATAGAGAAGTGTCAAGAACTGTTTTTTCTTTTAAGCCAAAAGAAAAGATCGGACTAGATGAATAACTTGTTGTTTTTATTTACATAACTTTTGAATACTTGAATAATCATTTTCATCTCTCATTATCAGACCTTATTGTTTTTGTTGTTCTACTGCATAACATTCTCATATGATATCACTGAAATCCTCAGAGATATCAACATAAAGTCCTCCAGATGAGTTTGAGGAAGAGATAAAGCAAGTGCTGAAAAAAAACATTAAAATTATTTGCACTGCATTAAAAGGATTTCATTTAAAAGCCATCTACATTCCAGAAAAACTGAGACTGGTAAGACAAACAGAAAAGATGTTTTATAGCAGAAACATCAGTTAATACTGACCTTGACTTTCGTCTGACTCTGATGGGCTAAATCTGAAAAATGTTACAGCTGCTATGAAATAATGTTCACTAATGTTGTCCTTTCCGTCTAGAGGAAATGCCGGGGCAGGTCCATGATATCAAGGGTCTCATGGTCTTACAGCCTATAGATCAGCAAATTACTTCTTAGAGGAGTGAACACAATCAGTTAAAGATCAGGGGGGTGTAAAACAGTAACATCACTGTGTGTGTGCATTATTTCCTAAGAAACGAGGGGCTGAAGGACACAAGTTAATTATATCTTTAGTGTTTGCTCTTTAATTATTCCTGGGCATAGCGTCATGTTTTTAGTATGTTTCCCTTTAATTTTTCTGACTGGAAATGTCTTCTAATGGACCTTCTTATTCTGTGTTGACATATTTTCTTATGGCCACATCTCTCATTTAGGTCACCCCTTGCCTTTATGGAGCAGGCAGTCTTAGATTTAACGTCTCACATAAAGTTGCTTCCCAGGTTGTTAGACAATTGATATGGCCGGTAAAAATTAAAAATAAATACATTTTTACTCCTATTGTAAAACTTGAAAATTCATAATCCCCAAACTCGCAATGTTTTTTCTTGGCTATATTTTGAATTACAAAAAAAGACCTTTTTAGCTGCTTATCAATTTAAGAAAATTATGAAATTATCTATAATTCATTTATGATTGATATTTTTAATATCAGTTGAGTAACAAAAATGTTAAACGTTGAATATAAATTGTCTTTTTTGTGAAATATCAAAAAGATTTCATATGAAAATGGCTTCAATTATCAGATATAATCTTCGCCTCTGTAACAAACTGTACACTTTTCTGTTTTCTATTAAGTGAAAAAATTTACTGAAAAATGTATTGACTCTAAGTGGCAATTTAAGGTGATATTATCTTATATTACACATACAAATCTCTGATTGGTTGCTTGGCTATAGTAATGACTACTCCTACAAAGCCAGATGCTATTAAAGGTAGAGCTGAGGCTGCAGGTAAACACTATTTTTGGCCATCCTGTCAAATTCTGCTTCCACAAATGTTGTTTACATCAAAGGCTCATATTCGTCTTAACTGGTGTAATGTTCTCTCAAGATTTGGTCTTTAATTTTAGTTATGATCCATGACACGTGATTTGGGTGTCACCTACTAAAAATGTCTCACTTGAGTGAGATGTGTTTATATGAACCATTGATAGAGCAAAAGATTGTGCCTCCAGATGAAAGAGCGATGGAGTGAAATGCCTCTGTAACTGATCTAGTAAAGCACTGGTTACTTTCACTTAGGGATTTCTGATGTTGAAAAGTGTTGGACCAAAGGTAGAGCTGTGACTCCGAATTCACAGTTCCTTCTGATTCTCTCGGATAAAACTTCAATATCAGTGTCAAATTTCCTACTTTTAGAATCTTGAAAATGAGACATTTCCAGACCAGCTGAAAATCATGAGTAATGTTTTGACAAATTTTTTTTATAAGAGAGCACATTTAATGTACTAACAAACTCAACCAAGTTAGTTTTAAATGTCTATTTAAAGCTACAGTGTGTAATAATTACTGGGATATACAGTCAGAAATGTAATATATTATACATAACTATGTTATTTATCATCATCTACCAGCTCAGCCTCTTAACCTTAATATTTGCGTTGCCTTAGAATTCGTTATTTATAATTACATAGGAGCGGGTCTCGCAGCCATGGAGGCAGACATCTTTGCGCTACGGCAGCGCAGAGCCAACAAACTAGCGATTGCGAGATTGCCCATTATGCTCGAAAGTAAATACGGCAAGTTGAGAGAGATGAAATGAGACGGTACTGAACAATAGATACTAAATACTACTATAGATACTAATAAATACTATCTGTAAAATTATCTATGTGAACAAACCTCATCACCTGAGAAGGTAGGTGATGCGGACGTCGTGGAAGACATTTTGTCCCGTAACGCTCGCCGTACTGTTGGGGGGGAGAAGCGGTGGGGGGGAGATGTTCATGTCGCTGCGGTCTGCAGTCTGGACGTTAGATGTCGCTGAAAATTACACACTGTAGCTTTAAACTAGTGTCTTTCAGCTTTTAACAAGTACTCAAGCTCCTATCATGTATAGTAAGCGTCATAATAGCCACAGTAATAACTGCCAAACCCTAGTTTGAGTCTTCTTTTAAATTTAAATATAGTTTTACAAGCCGATAACAAAAGATCTGGTCACAAAATAACATAAAGAGTGCACAACTGTGGTTAAGGCTGAATGACCAACATGGCTTATTGAATCCCTGAGACAAGCTGCTTTGTGATACAACATCATGAAACAAAAATCACTTTCTTGATTACAAAAACTCATATTTCCCAAATTAGCGACAATAAACATATATACAGGATTCTTTAAAAATCTAAAATTAGGATAGTAAATTGTAACTTTTTGACTTTATAAGACCTCACAAAATCTCTGGGATAGACTTTCGAACAATGTTAAATTTTATTCACCTCAGATACAGATATTTTACATTTTTGGACACTTAATCACAGACTTCTCTTTGGCAGCAGTTTAAAGTGTAGATCGTGCATTAATTCCTTTATCTCTTTATATGTATTTTTTGTGTATTTTGATATGTATTTATTAATTCTTCAAATAGAGCTTGGTGTGATTAACTGGTGAGTTAGTAGCTGAAATCAACAAATGAGTTTTTTTTAAGACTGATGCTGATATTATTTTTACATCTGTCTAACTGATCGCCAATTTTGGGGTGCTGATTCTATTATAATTATACATTGATAACAATGGTTACAAACATTTCAATTTAAACAAAAATAAACTTTTCTTCAAAAATAAAAAAATATATTTTGATAACAGATGGAAGGTGAGGAGCATGGTTGTTCCAAATATCTGTAGCAAAATCATTCATTCCAACCAGTGGGCATGACCAGTGTGATTATTCCCCATATTTCCAGTTGGAATCATATTTTCCATGCAGGTCTACCTGTTCTAAGTTCCCATGATTTCTTCCATTTTAACAACTACATTGAACAAGCAAAATCAACATCACGTAACTTCTTTTATATTCACCCCCAGCGGTTCTAGATTTGAGTCATTTGCCCTGTGGTGTTGTTTGTCCTTTCAGCAATGGAGGAGCTTGATGGAGACGAGGTGAGAGTATCTTCCAGAGGACGTCTTGCTGAGAGGGACATTGTTCAGGTACTCCTCGTGATTATATTTAAATTTGCAGGTTAGTAACAACAGCTTTTCTGTGAAGGAAAAAACCACAGGGGGTATCTTCCCAGAAAAGGGTGGGTAGAAGATGGGAAAGACTTTAGGAATAATAAACAGGTCAATATTAATTCAATTTAATTCAGTTTATTTATATTTAAAGCATGAGTTAACAACACATGTCATCTCAAGGCACCTAAAAAACAATACTGTCAGATTGGTTAGGACAGCCAGTTGATTGCATCCAGTCATTGACTTGCAAGATAAGATATTAAAGGTATAGAGCCCGATGATTTATTTCCGGGTGGTTCAACTAAATAAGTGGTCCGCCTAATTGTCAATCATTCTGGTGATATGTTTACGTAAGGTGGTCCTAAGTGCTCGTCCTCAGTTAGCTATCTTTTTCTGCACACTTTCAGGCGTGTGCGGCGAGCTACAATTTCAACCAGTCACTGAAGCTCATTTTTTTCACAGCAGTTCTTTGAAAATGGCAAAGGGTCATAAGAGAAAAAGTGTCTACTATATAGTCCCCACTCTATTTAGTGATTGAGGGATTTAGGTGTTAGGGCAGACGTTTGGAAACAGTAAGCTTGTATGTGCAGTGAAAACAGCAACTTATAAAAAAGCAGAGCCTTCACAAGGAAACATGTGCTCATGCATGCTCTGGCATGTGTTCAATAGGCGTTCCCTCTTGGGAGCGGGTACAGGGTTGTGCATGTGTATTTCTTTTTTTAGTGGAGAGGGCGGGTCTTTTAAAAAAATTGCAAAAATCCTCCACAATACCTTTAAGTAAAAAACATTTGCAAAATATGTTTATTGTTATCTTTTTTCTAGCAGTTGAAAACTGATACCTCAAATCGCAAACTTTCTTTTAAATATAAGGAATCAGACCCAAAGGTGGGAACATTTTGTGTTTCATAGCAACAGAGAATATTTTTTTAAACAATCATATTTCTGCATGAAATATTAGCCTTTTTTTCATTTTGCAAAATTCTGCAAAAAATAAAATAAAAAAAATGTAAATGCTATCTTATCAAGCTGAATATCCTATTCAGTTCTTCTGAACTATTCTGACAAAGCTGATCAATGAGAAGTCTTTTTTCATGTTTTTAGTCTTAAAAAAAGACTAAAAACTCTCCAAAAAAGAACTGCTGTTCTCCAAAAAGAACTGCTGTTCTCCAAAAAGAACTGCTGTTCTGTGGCATAATTATTATAAAGTTTAATTGGTGTTTTTTTTTACTTTTTTCATAATGTTGACCACAGAAAATAACTTCAGGGTTGATAGCAGCTAATGTATCTTGTTGCAGTATTATTACAGCTAAAACACGTCTTAGGAGAACAAGGAGTGACAACAACAAAAGAAATACTGGTGAGCAAGTTTGAAAATCCTACAGGCTTTAAACTTGTCACATGTTGCCAAAATGTGGATTATGTCTTCCTGCATGTGTAACCAGCTTCTGCTTAGTCCAATGTACCAGGCCGGCCCAAGTAACTCCCTCGACTCTGTTGTATGTGTGTGTTTTTTTTTTGTTTTTTTTTTTTGTTTTTGTTATGAAGACAGAGTTTCTGGGTGATCAGGCAGTTCGACTCAGTGCAACGGATCGGCTTCACTCAGCACATCACAACAGAGTGTTATGTTAGCTTTTAACTTGGTACATGAAGTGTTTTATAATATTAACAAAATGTACAAAAATTGATGCCAGACACACTTCTAATAAATAGTCATTACACACTATTTGTCTAAGTTAGTAAAAATTATGTTTTGTTATCTTGCTAACACTTTTCTTCTGTGAGCTGACGAATGCAACTCACTCAGTTTTCACAAACTGGCACTGAGTAGATTGGGCCAGCAACATATAACCAGCCACACAGAGAGGGGGCGCTATTTCCCCATTGCACTGATACATTTAAATCAAGTGGGATTCAAAAACCTAAACCTAAACGCTGTTACACATGATAGAGGATTCCTCTCTGTACATCTTAGAGAATAAAAACACGTCTATTGATTAACTGAAGTTACAGGTTATAAGTAGGTTATTACCACCTGTGATGTAAACCTTTATGAGGATTAGAGGATTAAAGTGCAAACGTGGTAAAAATGCAAATCAAATGTCAGAAACATTTGATGGTTTTCTCTAAAACTAAACTGACTGTAGGTTGATTATTGGAGCACTAATATGTTATGACATGCACTGATAGAGTCTCTGTCACTCTGAATGACAAATTTAAGTTAACTATCAGATTATTTTTACCAAAAAATATAGCAGAAAACCACACAGTGTGCACCTAGATTAATGAGACTCAACAACCACTTTCTCATCTCAGAAAACCGTCCTAAACACAGAGAGAAAGCACAAATACACAGAGGGCTGACAACCAGAAACATCTATGCTATAGTTTGTTAAACTTAAAATACATGGGTTACACCACTTCCTTTAGATATATGTTTACACATCTCCTTATAATGTATCAATTATAATGTACGGGGTATTCCAATCAGAATGCGAATCAGACCAAAGATATTCAGATAACATGTTTCTGTAGCGGTCATTATCAGTGTGGAACCATTATAGGGTAAAATAATGAGCTTCACCCCAACCCTCTGGCTCTAAAATTATAAAACACCTATTCCAATGTTTACTATGAACTTAGTCATGTTCGTTACTGAAGATAAAAAAAAAAACCTTCCTGGTATGAGGCTATATTGTTCAGAGATATCAATAATGGCAAAAATATGGGAGGCCTTTTATTAGAACTTTATGTACTGACTGTTTTTTTTAAATACCTTATTTTCATTTTAATTTAATAATTTGTTCAATGTTGAGTAAGCAGTACACTGCAGACACATGGCTTGTTATGTAACATTCTTAAGCACTAAGCTAGAGTTTGTAGCCACCCACCTTAGCTGCACAGTGAAGATGAGTTTGTGGAGTATGTTGGAGGCATAGTCTCTTGCCTCCTTTTTTCAACATTTATTTTTTATAGTTCTTTTTGGGGAGGGGAGAATTTGTCCTGTTTTTCACTCATATCCTCAGTGTGCTATCTGTGATGATTATCAGCCATCCAGGTCATGGTCTAGCTTGACAAGTTCACTTTATGAAACTAGACGTGAAGTTTTCTCGAAGGCATTTCGCCTTTCATCAGGCTTCTCCAATTCTAACTAATGGTGGAGGGCACTGAGATTACTGTAATATACTGTAGGTGTAACAAAGAATTATGTGAAAACCAAAGGTGGCTATGATCCCTCCCACTGGATTGGCCATGGAGCTAACGTGGGGGTGTTAATGGTCGTTAGGGGGTTCTGATGGGCCATTATCTCTTTTGTCAGATATGTCTCGGTCACAGGCTTCATTGTGAAGTGTAAGTCAGGTGAGGTCAGAAAAGAGGTGAATCTAGAAATACATTTAAGTTATTTCTTTTGGGGTTTTTTACCCTGTGGATTGTATTCCAGCCCATGTATAGTTTTCCAGTCCTCCTTTGTTGCATTACCTCATGCATTAAGCATAATACTATTCTGATAAACACTTGAAAGTGCATTTATCGGCAGAAAACCTTATGCAACTATGAAGAAAGTGGCTAAAATGCATGTGAAGATGTTCTTGGTGCATTTTCCCTCAAAGACATATCCATTCGTCCATTAACAGATTTAAAATCAGCCATGCTCTTTTGGAAAAAAAGAATGTTCTGCTGTGTGTTTTATTATAAGCAGGCGGTAACCCCCGCAAGGCGATAAAACCACATCTGCCAGCAGTTGGTTTAAAGAGCCTTTTAGAGATATGAGAACATAAATAGGAAGCAAATACAGAGACCCGTGGTAACAATGTGCTATTAAATATTCAGATAGGAGTGGGGATGACTGGCCTGACAGCTTGCAGAGTGTGATGATAAATGAGTCCTTACAGTGGGAATATACGGTGTCCCCATACCTAGAGGAGGAGCGGTAAGATTTCATATCATTAACCATCAGTTAAAGGGAACTTCTCTACTTTATGTTAGGCAATGTATTTGATTATTTTTTCATAATAATATCATACTATGTTTATTTCCACATATTGATATGTTTATTAAGCACCCTTATAGAGCTTTAAGTTTCTCCAAAAAATCTGCCGTCTATTTACTTCTAAAGTATGCATTTGTTTTAAAACTGTATAGATTTACAGTATGAAGCCTTTGTGATTAAGACTTTCTTCCTGCAGTGATTGTCACATTCAATCATGTTGTTTTTCATCTTCTAGCCATGATTTGAAGGGAATATTTATACTAGCAGCTAAAGAAAAGAATGCAATCACAGCACTTGTTTTTAAGTGTAGTTTCAATGATATAACAGATGACTGGCTCTGCTTTAACACCACCAATTCTCAATCTAAACCTTTGGTATGCTGCCATGTCACAGATCTTACTTTCAGCTTTTGTTTTCTTTTATTAAATATCATTTTACCCTCTATGGATTTAAGTTCTTTGATGATTAAGGCACAAAAAAGAGTCTTCTGGCACCAAATCAAGTACCACATTTGCTTTAATTTGAATGGTTTGGAATTGTTATCTTAATGATATCTTGGGAACAAGAAGAGTTCCTTGCAACATCATTGATTACATGATTGAAATATCAGTACTGAATTAGAAGAAGTAGCCTCACACATATAAAAAATAGGTTCTACATTTAATCTATACGAAAGTAAGGAGATTTTAATTTCCTATTTATTTATTTATTTTTTTTGTCAGTTTCTCGGAATATCGTGTTTTGGATCTAAACCCTAGTGCAATCAGAAAAAAACATTATTTATCTCTTCCTGATTTTTCAATAGCTCTGAAACACACTAATGTGAGCAATCACTCAAGGAACTATAGGTGGTTGATTTCAACCATGAGTAAAGACAGTGGCTGTCATGATCTAGTGGTGTTTTGGTTTCCTGATTTTTTTTTGTTTTGTTTTTTTTGTTTTTCACACATTTTGACTAGTTTCTTTAGTTCACGTCCACCAGCTTATT